CACGCAGTTGGAAACATACCGTAGCCCACGCTCCATGCGTGTGTCACAGCAACAAACAGCGAAGTAGGGCCATGCAGTCCAAGCCACTTTCGAGAAACTACATGTCCTAACCACATCTGTCTGCATGTAGGTCTGCTATGTCAGTGCGTAGTTTTGTCGGTGTGATCCTACCACTGTGTGATATTTTCTTTTCGTAAGCATACCTGGATGTCGGTACAGATGTTTGGGACCAAACCACTCGAAAATGTCGCGGTTCCGGTGCAACGCAACCAGTGCCCACACCTTCTGGCTCCGCCATCCTGTTGCTACTACTGCTCGGGCCCTGGAAGTTTCCCAGGTGAAATGATCTGAGTTGTATTGTTAGTTGGGCACAGGTCTCCTGATGAAAGCATTCGCTTCGGACAAAACAGTAAGACTTGGCGCTGAAGGACTTGTGCTAGGGGCTGAAATACACAGCAAGGTTAATGTCAACGTGGTTGTTTTGAAATGTCATGGCGGTGATCACTCGAAGTAAAGTAATTTTTGATTTTTTCCCCACCTGTCAGGTGCGGGTTGTTAGATTCTATTTATGTCAGCCCCATCTCCTCCTCCTCCTCCTTCTCCTTCTCCTTCTCCTCGTCCTCCGCCGGACCTCAACCACGACCATCCATGCCCAGTGTTCCCTGCCGGCGACCATCCACGCCCAGTGTTCCCTGCCGGACCTCAACCACGACCATGCACGCCCAGCGTTCCCTGCCAGGCCTCAACCACGACCATCCGCGGCCAGTGTTCCCCGCCGGACCTCAACCGCGACCATCCGCGCCCAGTGTTCCCTGCCGGACCTCAACCACGACCATCCGCGCCCAGTGTTCCCCGCCGGACCTCAACCACGACCATCCGCGCCCAGTGTTCCCTTCCGGACCTCAACCACGACCATCCGCGCCCAGTGTTCCCTGCCGGACCTCAACACACAAGTACAAACAGAACAACAAACACACAATCGCAAACACACAACAACAAACACACAACCACAAACACACAACCACAAACACAACAACAAACACAACCACAAACACAACCACAAGCACACATCCACAAACACACATAACCACAAACACACAACACCACAAACACACAACCACAAACGCAACCACAAACACAACCACAAACACACAACCACAAACACATCCACAAACGCACAACCACAACCACAACTACAAACACACAACCACAACCACAACTACAAACACACAATCACAAAGACAACCACAAACACACAATCACAAAGACAACCACAAACATACCACCACAAACGCAATCACAAACACACAACCACAAACACACAATCACAAACACACAACCACCAACACACAACCACAAAGCACAACACACAACCACAGCACAAAACCCGAGGACCCACAAGCAAAATCGAGAACTACAATACTCACGACCATGGCAACAGGCTCCTCACTATGGCATCAAGACAAATGATTGAAATGTCATGGTGGGGATCACTCGAAGTAAAATAATTGACTTTTTTGGATTTCATCGAGATTGAAAAACCCAAAACTTCACACACCATGGAGGAGGTCTTAATAGTCCTACTAGTTGTTTGGGTTTCTTGGATGTTTTAGATTCTTTGTATATATATATATATGTGGTACCCCCTACGTGGACAGTGCTTGAAACAGTTTTTGCACACAGGTCCCAAAATGTGAATAAAACACTGTAAATTACAATGAAACATACAAAGAGGTAGTTGTTGGGGGGGGTACCATATATTATATATATACCCTCTCCAGAAAGTGTTCCAAACAGTCAGGTGCAAAAAGGTCTCAAAAATATCATTCAAAAAATGAGCACAAAATATCACCAAAACACTGTAATTTACAGTATAGAACGCACTTTGGGTGTGTATTGGAAGGGGGGTACCATATTTATATATGTACGTATAGATAGATATATGATACAATGCCCTCGTGATTTAAGACGAACTAGGTGATATGATTTTCGTCGTAGGGTTTGGGCTCACAGTTGTGGATGTATCCCTGCCGCGAGCGCGGCCTCCTCACAGGGGAGGGAGGCCAGGCGTGCACATTTTGTGTGCGCACACGGTCCACGGTGGTGGACTGTCCTTGACGCTCCCGACTGAGCTGAGGGGTTGGGGGATTTCGACAGGCCGCATCTGGACAGGGATTCCTGCAGGAAGAGATCGATAAGTTCCGCGAGGCTGCAAGGCTTCGTGAGGCTGCTGCCATTACAACTTCATCAAAGAGCTGCAGCCCCGCAGGGCCCAAAGCAACCCCTACCGAGGGGAGTTCCAAGCTCC